TGAACCAGTGGGGTCCCTCGGCCTGGCCTGCAGGATCGGGCCGAAACCGGCTCTCCGACATCCCCCGAGGGGTCCCGGATGGCGAGAGGGTGCAGGCCAGGCCGAGGGACCCCACAGGTGCACGATCGGGGCCGGGGAGGGACCTTGGGAGGGCTCCAGGGCGTGTCCGGCGCGTCTCACTCAGTCCCGATCGGCCGGACCCAGCAGCAAGCTAACCTACCAGTGGGAGCATCTGCCCCCTGGTGGTCAGTGCACGTCATAGCGACTAATTGAATGTCTGCCCCCTGGTGGTCAGTGCACGTCATAGCGACTAATTGAATGTCTGCCCCCTGGTGGTCAGTGCACGTCATAGCGACTAATTGAATGTCTGCCCCCTGGTGGTCAGTGCACGTCATAGCGACTGGTTGCACGGCCTTAGCATACCATTAGCATATTACGCTTTGATTGGCTGAGCGGCAGACCAGACACTTAGCATATTAAGCTTTTTTAAAAAAACTATATTTTATTGATTTTTTACAGAAAGGAAGGGAGAGGGATAGAGAGTTAGAAACATCGATGAGAGAGAAACATTGATCAGCCGCCTCCTGCACGCCCCCCTCTGGGGATGTGAATGCAACCAAGGTACATTCCCTTGACCGGAATCGAACCCGGGACCCTTCAGTCCACAGGCCGACGCTCTATCCACTGAGCCACACTGGTCAGGGCAACACATTAAGCTTTTATTCTTCAGCGGACCACACCCCACTGCTGGTGTGGGCTTCCCCTGCATGCTCAGGTTGGGGTGCCTGTGGGTTATAAATTGGGGGCATGGGGGGAGGACAGCGCTGACCTTGAGCCCGAGGACAGAGTTCCCTGTGGGGTCTGCGTCTCTGAGGTCGGATACCCGTCACCCTCAGACCTTTGAGGGGTGGCTCCCCCTGCTCTGGGGAGTCACCCCGTCTGACCCAGTGCCCCTCCCGTGTCTGTTTCAGGGTGAAAAGGCTGCTGATGCCCAGTGTCCCGGACCCCAAGGCCACCTTCGCGGGGCTGTTTGAGTCCCACCACGGGAACTTCCAGGTACGAGCCACCTGCCTGTGGGCTGACACCGTGGCCTTCGTCACGGTCCTATATCTCTCCCCCCACCCCTGCACCATTTTAATTTTTATTTAAAATAATTTATTTTGGGGGAGGAGTATTGTGTTTATTTCTCCCCCACCCCCCCAGTCTGTGGACCTGTTTTTATTTTATTTTATTTATTTATTTTTTATTTTATTGATTTTCTTTTACAGAGAGGAAGGGAGAGGGATAGAGAGTTAGAAACATCGATGAGAGAGAAGCACCGATCAGCTGCCTCCTGCGCGCCCCCCACTGGGGATGTGCCCGCAACCAAGGCACATGCCCTTGACCGGGAATCGAACCCAGGACCCTTCAGTCCGCAGGTTGATGCTCTATCCACTGAGACAAACTGGTTAGGGCCAATACAATATATTTTTTAAAAAAGAAATACATATATATGTGTACACACACAGACACACACACACACACAGACACACACACACACACACGTAGGGGAAGCTGTGGCCCTGCAGACACCAGGCTCACACACACACACACACACACACACACACACACACACACAGTCACACACACATACTAGAGGCCCAGTGCACAAAATTCGTGCACTGCTAGGGTTCCTAGCGGCTGATGGCGGCCAGCCGGGTCCTCTCTCCCTTCCCCTGGCCGGCCCCGCACCTCGGTCGAACTCCCAGACGGACTCCTGGTCCAGGGACAATTTGCACACGACGCTTTTATTATACAAGATATATACCGATGGATTGATTTCAGAGAGGAAGGGAGAGAGGGGGAGAGATAGAGAGAAACATCCATGATGAGATAGAGAGAGAGCCCTGGCCGGTGTGGCTCAGTGGGTAGAGTGTCAGCCTGCAGACTGAAGGGTCCCGGGTTCGATTCCTGGTCAAGGGCACAGGCCCGGGTTGCAGGCTCCATCCCCAGTCAGGGGCGTGCAGGAGGCAGCTGGTTCATGGTTCTCTCTCATCATTTTTTAAAAAATTGATTTCAGCCCTGACCGGTGTGTCTCAGTGGATAGAATGTCGGCCTGCGGACTGAAGGGTCCCGGGTTCGATTCCCGGTCAAGGGCATGTACCTTGGTTGCGGGCACATCCCCAGTGGGGGGCGTGCAGGAGGCAGCTGATTGATGTTTCTGTCTCATCGATGTTTCTAACCCTCTATCCTGCTCCCTTCCTCTCTGTAAAAAATCAATAAAATATATTTTTAAAAAAATTGATTTCAAAGAGGAAGGGAGAGGGAGAGAGAGACATAGAAACATCCATGATGAGAGAGAATCCTGGACCGGCCGCCTCCTGCACCCCCCCGACTGGGGATGGAGCCCGCAACCCGGGCCTGTGCCCTTGACCGGGAATCGAACCCGGGACCCTTCAGTCCACAGGCCGACGCTCTATCCACTGAGCCACCCCGGCCAGGGCTCCAAGAGACTCTTAAAAACCCGTGTGCTCTCCAGGCTCCTGCTCAAGGGCCCTCCAGCCTCTGTTGATCTTATAGCAGCTGCTTGTCCGTTTTTTTCTTTTTCCGTTTTCATGTGAGAGAAAGAGACAAACAGCTTCTCTCTCAATCAGCCCCAGGGATCAAGGCGTCAACTCCTCTTTGATCAGCCCAGGAAGCCGTGTTCCCCCTGCACACCCAGCCCAGGCCCTAAGCTTCCTCTTTCCAGCCCCAGCTGCTGTCACTGCATTTCATTCACTGGGGGACCTGCTGAAAGGGGTTTTGGGGGGGCACAGCTGGTGGACAAGGAGGGCCTGGGCCCAGCCCCCATCCCGGGGAGCCCAGCAGAGCCTGGAGAGGCAGCCGTGGTGAGAGATCGGCCCGTTGCCTGGGGCTCCCAACATCACACATTCACCCTCTCTCTCCGCCCTGGAGACCAGGCATTAGAGGTCTGAGATCCAGGGGTGCCAGGGCCCCCCATCTCCCTCCCCTGGAGGCTCCTGGGAGGGTCCCTCCTGCCTCTCCCAGCGTCTGGGGCTCCGGGTGCCGGGGTGTCTCCGGGGCTGGTGGCGGCCTCCCTCTCTCCTGCCTCTGCCTCCACCCGCCTCCACTGTGGCTGCGTCTCCTCTTCTGTGTCTGACAAGGAGCCTTCCCTCCATCCCACCTGCGAGATGAATTTCTTTTCTTTTTTTTTAAAAAAAAAAAATATATTTTTTTATTGATTTCAGAGAGGAAGGGAGAGAGAACATTCATGATGAGAGAGAACCATGGGTCGGCTTCCTCCTGCACGCCCCCTACTGGGGATGGAGCCCACAACCCGGGCATGTGCCCTTGACCGGGAATCGAACCCTGACCTTCGGGTTCCTAGGTCGACCCTCATCCACTGAGCCACACGGGCTGGGCAGGAGCAAGGTGAATATTTTGAAATAATTTTCAATATTATTTAGGTGTGAGGGACATAAAAGAAACAGAAGGGTGAAGAAATAATAATAATAAAAAAAATTTTCTGTACACTCTTAGGTTCTGTGCCGGGGGTGTGTGAATTAAACAGACAAAAGACAGATTAAAAAGATGAAAAAGACAGAGGAGCTTTAGCTGGCTTGGCTCAGTGGATAGAGCGTCGGCCCGTGGACTGAAGAGTCCCGGGTTTGATTCCCGGTCAAGGGCACATGCCCGGGTTGTGGGTTCGATCCCCAGTAGGGGGCGTGCAGGAGGTGGCCGATCCATGTTTCTCTCTCATCACTGATGTTTCTCTCTCTCTCTCTCTCTCTCTCTCTCTCTCTCTCTCTCTCTAAGAAAAAAAAAATCAATAAAAACCTGTTTAAAAAAAGGAAGTTCTCCCTGGGTTGGGGTGGACGTGGAAGGGAGAAGAGAGAGCCTTTGCGAATGGAAATTTTCTGCAAAAAAAGGGGAAACTCGTGGCAGAAGGAGGACCGGCCGTTGCTGCTGTGGTTGCTCTTAAAAATAAAAAATTAAAAAAACCACAACTCAAAATAACCCTCCAGCCAAGTGGCCTGTTTTGGGGGGTGGCAGGTCCCCATTCCTTTGAGGGGAGAGAGGAGACAGGGCAGATAGGAAGGCCCTTGTGTTGGTATCTTTATGCTCAGGCCACACCCGTTTTATTTTATTGCTTTATTTTTAAAGATTCTAAGTGGTAAGAAAGCATGGCACCATATATATATATATATATAAGGGGGGGGGGAGCCTGGTGCATGTGCCCTTGGCCTGGGGCATGTGCCCTTGGCCAGGAATCGAACCCGGGACCCATCAGTCCGCAGGTTGACGCTCTATCCACTGAGCCACACTGGCTGGGCTGTACCTCACCTCCTTTACCATCTCCTCGGCTGATGGCCCCTCGGTTTTCTTGCCTTTGAATCACAATGGGTGTCCCCACAGGAGTGGATTAAGGACACGCAGAACCTCACCCACTTGCAGAAGGTGGAGGACCGGGAGCCGGAGGATGTGCTGATGGAGGGCTTGGAAGTCCAGCCGTCCAAGGTCGAGGCCGAGACTCCTGTGACGACGATGGCGGGCCCCCCGGGCCTGCAGACGGTGGAGAAGGAAACCTCTGGGACGCCCAGCCAGCTCCCAGGCCGGCCCCCACAAGGAGAAGAGGTGCTCGCCCTGGGCGGCTTCAGGTTACGATGAGTGACAACTCTTATGTGATGCTCTGAGGGGGTGCGAATTAAAAGCCAGCATCTCGTCTGTGTTGACATGGAAAGACCGAGGGGAACTTGTTGGCGACTCAGAGTTCACCCCCAGGAAAGGGGCACCCCTAAGCAATAATGCCAACACTTTGGGGGGTCACTAGAGACCCCCCACCCCCACCCGATTGGGCCAACCAATGGGTTTTACCCCTCACAGGTGTCAGTACTCAAGAGGTTGAAGGCGGACTCGTTGAAGGTGGGAGAGGATTGATTAGAGTGTTCCTTTAAAAATACATATACATTTTACTGATTTCAGAGAGGAAGGGAGAGGGAGAGAGAGAAACATCATTGATGAGAGAGGATCTAGGGTCAGCTGCCTCCTGCACGCCCCCTACTGGGGATCAAGCCCGCAACCCGGGCATGTGCCCTTGACCGGGAATCGAACCCTGACCTCCTGGTTCCTAGGTCGGCGCTCACCACTGAGCCACATGCACGCCTGATGTTTTCACGTAAATCGAACCATTTTTTTCTCGGACCCTTTGTTACCAGGGGACCCTGTCACCAGCGAGGATGGGGCCATATTAACCCCCGGAAACACTTGTTCTTCCTCCCAACTTCTCTCAATATTCTTCCTTGTCTGGGAGGGATTTGAATTCATGAAGACTCTCAGAGGTCACCCCCAAACACCCGCCCGCCCCCAACCCCTCTGGAGAGTGTATGTCATGGTTTTAATTATTATTATTATTATTATTAACTAGAGGCCCCCGGTGCACGAATTCGTGCACCAGTGGGGTCCCTCGGCCTGGCCTGCGGGATCGGGCCGAACCGGCTCTCCGACGTCACCCAAGGGGTCCCGGATGGCGAGAGGGCGCAGGCCAGGCCGGGGGACCCCACTGGTGCACGATTGGGGCCGGGGAGGGACCATAGGGGGGCTCCAGGGCGTGTCCGGCCTGTCTTGCTCAGGCCTGATCAGCCAGACCCCAGCAGCAAGTTAACCTGCCGGTCAGAGGGTCTGCCCCCTGGTGGTCAGTGCCCGTCATAGTGACTGGCTAACCATTCGACTGTCTGCCCCCTGGTGGTCAGTGCACGTCATAGCGACTAATTGAATGTCTGCCCCCTGGTGGTCAGTGCACGTCATAGCGACTGGCTAACCACTCGACTGTCTGCCCCCTGGTGGTCAGTGCACGTCATCGCGAGCCGTTGAGCATCCTTCGCATATCATTAGCATATTATGCTTTGATTGGTTGACCGGCCGACCGGTCGACCGGCCACTCAGCCCATTAGGCTTTTATTATAGAGGATTGTTATTACTATTATTTTTTTTTCTCATCGAAATAAAGAGAAGAAAGAAAGGGTTTATCACACGAACTATGGTGAGGCCGGGACAGAGCGCTGATGTCCCCGTAGATAGAGGAGAGCATGTGTGGGTTTATCTGCCTGGTCTCTCGAAGGTTCAGGAAGTTTCTAGATGGTTCTGATCTCGCTGGGTTGCTTGCGTGCATGGAGAAGTTGGTTTTTTTTTTCTTTTTCTCCCAGCAGGTTTGCAGGAAATAAAACGCTGACACACCTTGAACCCGTGTGTGTGTTGTGGTCATTGGCGAAATGCAATTAGAACAAAAAAAACCCCCATATTTTCATGTCCACCCCCTTCCCCTTCTCCCCCCAATAAAAACCCTTCAGGACAGAACATCAGGGAGCAAACATTTTATGGGTGAAATCGCCCCAGACGGGGAGGCCTTGTGCAGGGCAGACCACCCACCAGCTAAGAACCTGCAGACACAGAAGAAGAAAATAGAAATAATCTCACCCTGTTTTAGGGCCAAATAACCGCTATTCCGTCCTGGGTGTCGAGGCAAAATGGTGATTTTTTTTTGTCACATTTTGAGGATTTTGTCGGTTTTGCAATTTGGGGGTACGGCCTTCTGGTAGGAAGAGGAGAAAGGGGTGGGAGTATCTTCGTCCGATGACCCCATGTCAGGGTGGGTTGTGCCCTGAGCCGGAATCGAACCCGGGACTCTTCAGTCCGCTCTATCCACTGAGCCACACCGGTTAGGGCTCAATCCCTTCAATTTGATCAGCATCACCAAGGACCAATGATGGCCCAGGAGCTGGGACAAGGAAGACCAGTGAAGACCCCGGCTTTGCGTCTGTGCCAGCAAAGCCGTGGAGGCCATGGACTCGATGTCCTATTCCATCCATAAACCCTAGACTGTGTCCTTTAAGAATCTATAAAAAATTTATAAATTTTAATGATAAACCTCTGCTTTCTATCAAAATTACTTCTTGCGTGAATTTTGGGACACGCTTTATACATACACTATATACATATCCTATGTTCAAAGGCTGTTAAATTTCAACAAAAGAGTGCATCTGTGCCAGCAAAGCCGTGGAGGCCATGGACCCGATGTGCTGTTCCATCCATAACCCTAGACTGTGTACTTTTTGAATCAATAAAAAAATTACAATGTTTAATGATAAACCTGTGTTTTCTATCAAAATTACTTCTTGCGTGAATTTTGGGACACCCGCTTGCCACGTTTCCGCATTTTTTTCTCAATTAAAAAAATAAATAAATAAATTCCCCTAAGATGGATCTTTAAGGGTTACCCACGCCTGCCAGATTGGGGGGTGCGGGGGTAGGGGTTTGGGGGGGAATGGATTTAAGACGTTCTCAGCCTCTCAGGTTGAGTGGCAACCGGTCTTAAGTCAAAATCGCTTTTTTTTTAAAAAAAAAAAAAATATATATATATATATTTGTATTGATGTCAGAGAGGAAGGGAGAGGGAGAGAGAGAGAACATCCATGATGAGAGAGAATCACGGACCGGCTGCCTCCTGCACGCCCCCGACTGGGTGTCAAGCCCGCAACCCGGGCCTGTGCCCTTGACCGGATTCGAACCCGGGACCCTTTAGTCCGCAGGCCGACGCTCTAACCATTGAGCCACACCGGCCAGGGGGGGAAATCAATCTTTTTTTTTTTTTTTTTTAAATATTTCTTTATTGATTTCAAAGAGGAAGGAAGATGGGGAGAGACAGAGAAACATCCGTGATGAGAGAGAATCATGGACCGGCCGCCTCCTGCACGCCCCCGACTGGGGATCGAGCCCGCAACCCGGGCCTGTGCCCTTGACTGGATTCGAACCCGGGACACTTTAGTCTGCAGGTCGACGCTCTAACCACTGAGCCACACCATCCAGGGTTCTTTCTTTCATTTTTTTTTTTTTTTTTACAGTTTTTAGATGCAAAATCAAGCCAGGCCCCTACACACACACACACACACACACACACACACGTCTCACGGTCTAAAAAAAAAAACAAACAAAAACCCGGACCCCTGTGTACGCGTTCCCCCCGAATAGTAAAATTTTATGAACGACGGAGCCAGCGATTTCCCTCTGTGCTATTTCCCCGGCAGCCCGGCTCTCTCCATCGTCTGCTCCCCTTACGACGGCCGGGGAGACTTAAAAAAATAAAAATAATAAAAGTGTGTAAAGGAGGGAATTTTCCAGGGTTTCTCGGCAAACCACCCGGATGTCTCACCTGGGTGGTCTGAGCCCTCCACGCCGGAAATTGGAATTTTTTTTTTTTTTAGCAGAAGGAGTTTTTTTAAAAAAACAATTCTGCATCCTTTGCGGACACGCCTCAGAGGGGAAGGGTCGTAAGTCTATCGTGAACCCATGGGGTCCCTCTGCCTGGCCTGCGGGATCGGGTCGGAACCGGCTCTCCGACATCCCCCAAGGGGTCCCGGATGGCGAGAGGGCGCAGGCCAGGCCGAGGGCCCCATGGGTGCACGATGGGGGCCGGGGAGGAACATGGGAGGGCTCCAGGGCGTGTCCGGCCCGTCTTGCTCAGTCCCGATCGGCTGGACCCCAGCAGCAAGCTCACCTGCTGGTCAGATCATCTGCCCCCTGGTGGTCAGTGCACGTCATAGCGACTGGTCGACCCGTTGACTGTCTGCCCCTGGTGGTCAGTGCACGTCATAGCGACTGGTCGACCCATCGACTGTCTGCCCCCTGGTGGTCAGTGCACGTCATAGCGATTGGTCGACCCGCCAACTGTCTGCCCCCTGGTGGTCAGTGCATGTCACAGCCAGCAGTTGAGCGGCCTTAGCATCTCATTAGCATATTACGCTTTGATTGGTTGAACAGCCGACCGGCCCACCAGACACTTAGCTTGTTAGGCTTTTATTATAGTACCAGAGGCCCGGTGCACAAAAATTCATACACAGTGGGGAGTCCCTTCAGCCTGGTCAGCACCCTCTCCAATCTGGGATGCCCTGGGGCCGTGGACGGCAAACTGCGGCTCTCGAGCCACAGGCGGCTCTTTGGCCCCTTGAGTGTGGCTCTTCCAAGCCTTAGGAGGACCCCCATTAAGTGAATAACCATGAACCTGCCTATATAGTTTAAGTTTAAAAAATTCTGCTCCCCAAAGAGATTTCAGTCGTCGTCCTGTGGATATTTGGCCCCTGTTGACCTATGAGCTTGTTGACCAGTGCCCTGGGGGATTGGGCCTAAACCAGCAGTCAGACGTCCCCCTCACAATCCTGGACCACTGGCTCCTAATAGCTCACCTGCCTGCCTGCTTGCCTGGTCTCCCCTAACCGCCCTCCCCTGCCAGCCTGGTCACCCCTAACTGCCCTCCCCTGCCGGCCTGATTGCCCCTAACTGCCCTCCCCTGCCGGCCTGATCGCCCCTAACTGCTCTCCCCTGCCGGCCTGATCACCCCTAACTGCCCTCCCCTGCCAGCCTGGTCACCCCTAACTGCCCTCCCCTGCCGGCCTGATCGCCCCTAACTGCCCTCCCCTGCCGGCCTGATCGCCCCTAACTGCCCTCCCCTGCCGGCCTGATTGCCCCTAACCGCCCTCCCCTGCCGGCCTGATTGCCCCTAACCGCCCTCCCCTGCCGGCCTGATCGCCCCTAACTGCTCTCCCCTGCCGGCCCATCGCCCCTAACTGCTCTCCCCTGCGGCCTGATCGCCCCTAACTGCTCTCCCCTGCCGGCCCGGTCGCCCCTAACCGCCCTCCCCTGCCGGCCTGATCGCCCCACGCTGCCCTCCCCTGCCGGCCTGATCGCCCCTAAACTGCCCTCGCCTGCCGGCCTGATCGCCCCTCACTGCCCTCCCCTGCCGGCCTGATCGCCCCCTAACTGCTCTCCCCTGCCGGCCTGATCGCCCTTAACTGCCCTCCCCTGCCGGCCTGATCGCCCCTAACCGCCCTCCCCTGCCGGCCTGATTGCCCCATTCTGCCTGCTCATTCAGTCATTTTTCGTCCCTCACTGACCCCCCACACCCCCCCGCTGGCCTGGTCGTGGACAGCCATCTTGTGATGGCGCGATGGTCAATTTGCATATTCCCTCT